TCATGATCGGTAAAAACGGAAAAAATCGTATACGTAGACAATTTGGTGTAAAAATAATGGCCTAACAATCTATATGACAAACGTCAGTCAACATTCGACTTAAGGATAGATTGTTTTTGCTGACAATGTCTATGTATGGACCAAAGGAGTTGCGAATTGCTGACTTTAAAGGGGACTGTTGATATCCTTGTACCATTAACTTATTTGTCAATAGCTTGCCTTGTTTTAGAAATTGTTCGTACGTAGCGCATGTTCTTGTGTATTTATATGGGCGACATATACTCCATATGCAGGTGATAATGGTATATTGCTACATAAGTAGAAAAGTTGAAGTCATCGTGTTAATCATGAAGTTTTGTCGTTAGTTTGCTAATGAAACAGTGGTAGACCTTTATAATGTATTATTTTCTTGTTTCAGATAAGTTTAAATATGATGAAAGGGCACTAAGAAATAATTTGAGCATTATCGAGCATGCTCTACGTATGAACAAAAACAAGGTAAGTTACAAACAAGTTGATGAAACAAGAATATCAGCAGTCTCGTTTAAAGTCATCATTTCGTAAGTTCTATGGTCGATACAATGACCTTGTCAGCAAATACTGACTGATTTTTTTCATAGTAATTGTTAAGCCATTACTTACACACTGAATTGTCGACGGATTTTTCCGTTATTTCCCGATCATGACAAGGAGCACACGGCGGGTGTGACCGGTCGGCAGGGGATGCTCACTTCTCCATGGCACCTGATCCCACCTCTGATGTCTTAAAGGTCCGTGTTTGTTCTGCTCCTATTTTGTAATGTTTAATGGACTTTTGAGCTCGAAAACTGTTCGTTACCTCCACATATTTCATTTAGTGTTTTTTAGTCTATTTTAAAGTTTCGAATTCTAATGGCCAATACAATTAACATTTTGTAATGTAAAATCCATGACAGTAGACCTTAAGCCGAGGAGTATGCACTAACGTACATTCATAAAATTGCACGAAAGATATCCATGCGCCTTTAACTTAATAAATAGGGAAAATTCATATTTTAAAAAAAAATCCTAATTATCACTTAATTTTTTTCCCATGCAAACTTTTTCATTGAAGTTTTGCGAAATTCATTGACAAATTAACATAAGAAAGACAGCCTTTATACGGTTGCTAGGCTGTCTGTTGATTTGTTTATTTATTTAATGTTCATTTATTTATTTAAGGTAAGGCGAGTCAAATCCCTCAGAACAAAAAATAAAAACTACATGTTTTGGTGTTCATCTATATATGAATTTGCGTCATCTTCGAATGTCAAAATAAGTTAATTCTCTATTCATAACTCACAATTGATAAATAATGCATCTGTATTGAAAATACCCCCGCATGAAAGTCAGCTCAGGTGTAAAGCAGTGCTTGTATATAAGATTCGTCGACACATAATACATTATATTTCAAATGTCAAGTAAATGTAGGGAGAAAAATTAAACTTCAAAGTAATTTTTTAAAGTATTTTTCTTAAGGAGAAAGACAACCTTGCCACAATGTTTAATTTTATTGCGTCTTGTCATCTTAATGTTTGTTTGTTTTTATTAGCTACCTTTAAAAAAGTTTTAAAATTGTATGCTGTAATTCGTATAATTAAAGGGATCAACACGCCTTTAAATCTATCATTTGATGAAATCACAAAAAGGTCTGATTAGTACATGTAAATAAAGTTTTTTTTTTCTGAAAACTTGGCTATTAAAATAGTAATAGTTCTCTTCTTAGAAGATATTTCATTAAATTTGATTTCACGTTTTTAAATAAAAAATCAGAAATTGATAGAACTCACAGCAAAAAGTATAAAAGTATTTTTTAAGGTTCAATCTGTAATCGTTACCACGATCACAGCTGTTCTTGAAGATTTTACAGCATCCAAATTGAAATTCCATTTAAATGACAACGATTTACTGTTATGTCATGCACATTTCATAAGGGTCCACCTTCCAGATTATTTAAAATATGATAAATATATAAAAATTTGAATCTTCTTGGAAGTGTCTTGAAAAATTGTTTTAAGAATGGTGTTGACACGTCCAGGCAAGTAATACCAAAACACACACATGCACACATCCACACACACACTTCCTCACACACACAGACTCTCTCTCTCTCTCTCTCTCTCTCACATACACACACAAATTAAGAAACTTCAACAAAATATTAAAGCCGAAAGTTGTCGTCTGGGAAAATACCCTCCATCAAATAAGTTTAGAACCTTTTTCTGTATTCTTAATTAGATAATTATTTAATTGTCATGGTAAGACTCGATCGCTTCAGCGCGCATTTAGCTGATGTGCTTTTCGGTCGTCGCTTGCGTTCATTTACAAGAAAATGAATACAATTTCATCAATTTGGAGGTTTTTCTCTCCAAATCGACCGACAATAATTGAAACAATATTCAATTCGTTTTGATAGAAATAAGCTCTCTCTCTCTCTCTCCTTTCGACGTGCGATGGTCCTTCTATAGCCGCACAGCGTAACTCTATGAAAATGGGTTCACAGTCGTAGCTGGGTTTGATTTTCCGAAGAACCACCGTGGCGTAATAAATGGTTTGTTCCCATTTCGCCTTAACTGTAAAATTTGCTATTCCCATTTCGCCTTAGTACCTTGAATGTTTTATTAACTTAAAGGCGAAATGGGAACTTGTGTATACATATAATTATGCGTTTAAGTATTGTTTGCATTGCATAGCAAAATTTCAAAGATTTCAGAGGTTTCAAATTATTTGCTCACCGTGAAAAAAAGTGATTTTGTGAAAATTATGCAAATATGATACAAATCCTGAAAAAAAAAAAAAAAGATGAAAAAAGTGAAGTCGGTGAACTCTAAGCATTAAAAAATTCTGTAGAATATACTGACTTAAAACATTTAAGATTTACATGAAACATTTTATAATATACTTATTATTTTCTAAGACACTACATCTATAAAATAATTCACATTTTCATGAATAATTTTTGCAAATTTCTTATTTTTTAAATTGTACAATGAATCTACTGACCAATGATAATGTTACTATTTTTTTCATTTTACATCCAAATATTTCTTTTTTAACTGTGTAATTAACTTAACGGTAAAACAAACATCTAATTAATTTACATGCATGCAGTTATTGTTTTTACAAAGGAATAATCAAATTCCCACTTCGCCTTAGAACTTTTTCACATTTTCTTACCTACATTTCACAGTTAAGGCGAAATGGGAACACACCTAATAAATGGATCTACATTGTAGCATAAATAGAAGTTTTTTTCATTATAAACTTTATATTGTTATTGATCCTTTTCATATAACTTCTTCTAGTGTTGATACATGAAGTTTCTGAAATCTTTATTACCGACTTGCCCGTGTAATTTCTTGTAATGTATGAGCTATTGATGGACATGCCAAAATCGATAAAAAGGTTTCTTAAGGGGACATGATACAAACAAAAACGAATGCATGGATTGGTATATATTTTTATACTTATTTTCGCTGTAAATGATGCATATATCAAATCTCTAAAATATTAAAAAATTGTCATCTGTGCATTATAGTAAATAAATGTGTTTCAGTTATCATGCTTGGCCTCGTTATACAAAACTATTTTGAAGACTAAGATCTGTCTTAAGACCAAAAATTAACTTAAATAATTATAAACTGTTTGATAAAACTGTCATATCTTAAGATAATCTTAAGATCTATCTCAAGTCTTCAGACAACTAGATATCTCTCTTACGTCTAAAGTGGACATGGCGACGCTCCGTCTTTTTGCTCACAACCGAAGGATCTTCAGAAGAGAACAGTATTTAGAGACAGAACAATCGTTTGGACTATACAAAGATCCAGAGACCATCTGTCTTAAGTTTAAGTTAATTGACTGATTCAACATCATCTTAATTTTCAATATATATATATATATATATATATATATATATATATATATATATATATATATATATATATATATATATATATATATATATATATATATATATATATATATTAATTTTCAATACTCTGAAACACCAAAATTTATATTGTTTGGCTCAATTTAATTAAAAGCAACTATCCTATTAAATTATCATACAAATATAACAATTGTACATTTAACATTAATTTGTCATTTTTCCTCTTACATGTACGTCTATAAAGCACACCTTTTCTGAAAGGCGCTGAATTCATAAAAAAAAAGAATAACGAAATTAACATTTATTATGAAAAGAGAAATTAGAGAATGATTATGTAAATAAAAGCATTGAATTCTTTTTTTTTTTATGATGTTGTCGGTCCTATAACAGCACCTCTGTCCGTGCCGACAAATTATCATACCGCGTTCACGCGCGCGGTATTCAATTTGTCGGCACGTCCAGGTGCTGTTATCAATGGTTATAGGACCCGTGACTTCCAAATATGAGAAATCAAAGCTTAATTAAACTCGCACATGCATAACACAATGACTACACATAACAAAACCCCCTAATATTAATGCCGGGTGGTACACTAAGATCAACATAATTAATTTCAAGAACATAATATATGTACTGAAGGATTATTCAATAAAATTAATTCGCCTTTTTCTGGCAATTTTGAGCGATGTCAACTGACGATTACCGTTGGACATGATATATTTTAGTTTCAGCCCAAACTCATGAAATTGATAAAATAATATAAAAATTTCAACAAAAGAAATCATTTAAGAAAACTTATTATTTTGAATACTAAAAAAAAAAAACAAACAAAGAAAGACAACTAAACTATAAGCAAGCATAATATTTCTTCGTAATACTGAAGCATGAAGTTTGCCTTCAGAATTTTAATATTAATGCTAGTTTTGTGAAACAGCAGACGTGACAGCTCTTATAATTGTCGTAAAGATCTTCGAAATGTCGTAAGTCAGATCTTAGGATGATCTAAATATATATCTTTAAGATGACTACGGCAGGACAGATTTTTTGTGAAACGGGCTAGTAATTGTAAAATCGGACTCGGGATTACAAAATTTGGGCAATATGTAAACAAAACGTGATGTGAACAAGGTGGGCGTTTCTTTCTCAACTAAAATGCCTTCGGCAACAGTTACGATCAGGTATTTGATAAAATATAGCTACGGAAAATTGATTCATCGTATTGTAACATTTTTCCTCTTTTACAGAATCTATTAAAAATATTTATAAACTATCAACTAGCGTGATCAACTTCATGTACAGTGACTGTTCTTTTGGTTTATATAGAGAGTTAAAAAACAGAGAGACAGGAATTGACATAACAATTCCCCGCATCACACAAGAAAAGGGACTTCTGCAGTCAACATATGAATACCAGGTCGTAGTGGTGTCTAATCTACCCTTCTTCAAAAGTCCAAAACACAAGGAGAGTGACGTTGTTCAGTTCATGGTAAAATACTGAAATAATTGATTTATCTTCTCACAGTAAGTCTGGAGCATTAATCTTAATAATTATCATTTTTTTAAAGCAGATCTTAGTTTTAAAATATGAAAAGGAAAGTTTAACCCACTTCAAAAAGCATATTTGTACTGAGGTGTAATCAGAGTAAAAGAGAATATAAACAGCTGATAAATAGTATATGTTAATTTCTCTGATGAAAGATGTTTAAGATATTACTTATGTAGGTAAAGAAGAAGTTTGCAGAGTTTGAAGACTTATGGTCCAAAATATATGAAAAGTACCCAGCCACAGTACTCCCCACTCTACCAAAGAAAGCCCTCCTGGTGAATGATAAAGTGGCAACAGATAGGAGAGCGGGGCTAGAGAGATTTCTCAATTTCCTTGCTGTTACCCCCAAAGTCTGCACTTCTTCTCTACTACTGGAATTCTTAGGTAAATAATAAACAACTAGGAAATAAGTCACTGTTTTTCTAAAAGTTAACTTTTCAAATTGAAAATTCTTATTTATATAATTAAATAGTAAAATAATAAAGAAATAAAACATTGTTCTATTTAGAAATTAGTTGACTGGAAATAAACAGATAAATGTTGCTTCAGGTGTCAATGCAATAAAAGCTGGCAAATACACACGAGAAGGGCTGAAAAATGAAGGAGAAACAGAGGATAATGATGAACAGTCAGAAGATAAAAAGGAGATAACATCAGAGTCTAGTACAAGGCTAGTGATAATAATGCAATAGGGAAATGTGATTTCAGAATCTTTGTTTTTAATGTTAACTGTTCATGTTTACATGTAGCTGTTATTTGGACTACTTTCATTTGAATTCATATTTTAGCATCTTAAATGCATTCATTGTTTATTAATTTACAAAAATCACTGCTAAAATAAGAAATCATGCCCAGATACGCTGAATGCATTCACTGAAGTGTTCTTATTCTGTTATTTATGATTACATGAATCATCATCCCTTAATTACAGTAAAACATGTATACAGCAAACACATTTATAATGAATTCCAGCTTACAGCAAAGTGATTTTCATTCCCTGTTGAATTAAATAATTGTCCCTATGCAAGTGAGTTAAGGCTAGGTGTAGGTGTTTCTATGCAAATGAGCGAATAAAAATGCACGAAAGGTATATCTTTTATGAAGAAAAAGTTTTAATTCATTTTCTTTTATATGCTTAGTTCCCAAGACTTGTGAAAGCCAGTGCACATTATGACGTCATTGTTCTTTACTAGTCGAGGTTATAAAACACATCAGAAAACAGCCTCGGCACAAGGGCTTATCCTATTTAATATTGCATAAATAATGTATAATTCTAGGAAGAATATTCTGATGATTAATAAAAGTGCTGCACAAATCCTATGTACTTTCTTATCTGATAAGAATTTGAGAAAACTTACACCGGACTGTGAATTTTTTCCCTGTTTCAACTCAATACTGTAGAAATAGTAACTAAACAATTGAGCTGTCGATATTTGTACAGCAATATTATCAATCCTTGGAATATTCTGATTCTAATTAGACCCTGATTCTGTAAAATTAAATAGGGTATGTCCTTGCACCGAAGCTATTTTGTTGATGTTCTTTAAAACTTTGTGTAGTAGAGAAGAATGACGCCATAATATGACATCATAATGTGTACTGGCTATCACTTGTCGTGGGTACCAAGTTTGTATTAGAAAATAAGTTTTAACCTTTCCTGTATAATAAGTACAGCCTTTATGCGTTTTAATTAGTTTATTTGCATGGAAATGTCTATAATTAGCTTTAACTCACTTGCGTATAAGTAAAGCATAGTTTTTTGTAGACCATTTAATTTTAGATATGCCAAAAAGAGTAAACAAAGAATATTCTTAGAGTATTCCAATCATCTTACCTTAGTCATATGGTACTGTGATTGGATAAGTAAAAAAGAATGTTAAATTTCTTGCTCCACCACCATTCTTCTAAATTTCATCAACATATAATCCAATAAATCCATATGCTTCTGATCAAACATTCTGTTTATTTTTCCATCATGGTAGCTCATTCGGTAGAGCTCTCGCTCTGTGTTCAGAAGGTCGTGTGTTCGAATCACGGCCTCGACTGATCTAAGTTGATAAAAAATAGGTAGGAACTGTTCCTTTGACAGACACTCGGCACTTTGAAGTGAAAGTTGCGGGTCCTTCTGATGAGACCTTAAAGACCGAGGTCCCTTGTCATGGCAGGCGTTGGCACAATAAAGATCCCTCACTGCTCAATGGCCCAGAGTGCCGAGTAGAGGTCAAAATTTGAAGCCCTTCACCGTTATATGGTGACATCTCTATATGAGTGAAAAATTCGCGAACAGGATGTAAAACAACATACAACAACCACTTCTTTGAAATCATTTTCTTTAAAGGCCTTAAGACATGTTTGCTACCACAGGATATTTCTTTATTGATTTTTAGCTCACCTCAACGAATTTGGGGAGCTTATGTAATACCCTTGGTGTCGGCGTCCCAGGCCAGGTTAAAGTTTTTGTGCAGTTTTCTTTTCAAGTACATCTGTGCCCTATATTAATCAGAGATGCATAGAGGATGCCTCTAGTATGTTTCATTGTACCAATCAAGATTTCAGATGCTGCAATTTAAGCTGAAGAATGACCAGGTTGATGTTTTTGAAGCATTTCCAAGTAACTATTAGCCCTGTATTGATCAAACTTGCATGGATGATACATCTAACGCTGCACACTACCAGGCTTGCTTCGGATGTTGGATCTAACCTACATTTTCCGGATGAGTGACCAGGTTAAAGTTTTTGGAGCAGGTCTCATTACTAAGTAACTATAAGTCCTATATTCACCAAAATTGCATGGATGATACATCTAAGGATGCACACTATTGAACTTGCTTCAGATGCTGGATCTGACCTACATTTTCCGGATGAGTGACCAGGTTGAAGTTTTTAGAGCAGGTCTTATTTCCAAATAACTTTAAGCTCAATGTTGACCAAAATTGCATGGATGATACATCTGAAGATGCACACTACCAGGCTGGCTTTGGATGCTGTGTCTTACTGACATTTTCCAGATGAGTGACCAGGTTAAAGTAAACTATAATGGCCATCTGAACCAAACTTGCATGGATAATGCATCACAGGATGAACACAAACTTGCTTCAGATGCTGGATATGACTTACATTTTCTGGATGAGTGACTAGTTTAAAGTTTTTAGGTAAATCCATTCCCATGTAACTGCAAGCCCTGTTGTACCAAAATTGCATAAATGTTACATCTAGGGATGCAGACTACTAGAGCATTAGTTTGGGACTTTGCCTTACTTAAAGACAACATTCGTTGAGGTGAGCTCTGTAATCTCTGATTACCTATGTTTTTATATGTGTGACTTGCTTTCAGCAGTGGTCTTTTTGAAGAGGATGAGGAGGAAGAAGAAGAAGACTTATTCAATGATGAGGAAGACACAGACATCATTCCCGAGATAACCACAAAAGGAGGACAGGGTGAGAGTTCACTTGACATATTTAGATAAATGATTAGATGAATGTCTAATCTACTATCTAAATCTGCAATATCCATTACAGATCATTTCCCTTATTTAATGGTAAATGCTTTAAGTTAATCTGCAGCAAGATGCAATTTCTAAAGGGTTGTGGGTCCAAAGGTTACTTGCCAGAAAAACAAATGTGCAGTAATCTGAATTTTCTCTTTGCCCAGGCATTGTCATAAGAGCTTGCTGTGCTTGATATAATGTAGAAATTTAAGGAACAAGATAGCTCATTTTTGTTTCTTTGTTTTATCTACCTCAATTTGTTTTTTTTTTTTGGGGGGGGGGGATGGTTATAAAAATAAGAGTTACTGACTTGAAAGATAACATCTTTGGTTTCTACATAACATTTTTAAAAGTGTTAAAAATGTTCTCCCTACAGCAAAAAAAAAAAACCTATCAAATTTGAGGTCAAAAGGTCAAAGGTCAACATGAGAAATTCATACATTCTGTATATGAAACACTTTCATTTCTGGACAATATCTCAAAAAAGTCTTTCAGCTTTTGTAATGAAATTTTTTATCTTAACTACCTTTGGCCTAAAGAAGACCTCTATTGATTTTTAAGGTCAAACTTCAAGGACAGAAATTCAAACATGGCAGAAATGGTTTAAGATGGAATCTTTATATTAAGTAAATTTTCATTGCTTTTTTTCAATAAAATATGATATCATAACTCCCAATGCCTTAAAGAATACCTCTTTTGATATTGAGGTCAAAAGGTCAAAGGTAAAGTAATACTTTCATTTCTGTATGATATCTCAAATAGCCAGTGAGCTTTTGCAATGACATTTTATATCACAACTCCCTATGGTCTAAAGAAAACCCTATTGATTTCTATAGGTGAAAGGTCAATGTCAGAAATTCAGACATTGCAAAAATTGTTACCAGCTGATAATTTTTTGTTTTCTTTATCTTTATCATTGACCTTGAGTTTACTCAATGAAATCATTACTCCCAAAGACTTAAAGAAGAGTTCTACTAATTTTTTTGTCAAAAATGCATTAAAATGGTTACTGGTTCTTTAGTTCTTATTGAGATTTTGCATGAAATTTCAAGCCTCTTGTCAACATGACTTATAGAAGACACCTATTGATTTGAGGTCAAAGAACAAGGTCAGATGTTCATATATTGCATACATAGATGATAACTTTAGTTCTCTAGATCTGAAAGCTTTTGCAATGAAACGTAAGGTCTTGAATTTTTTAATTAAAAAACATATTGACTTCAATGCTAAAAGGCTGAAACGTCAAGGTCAACTTTTCCTCTTTCTCCATCGTTTTTTTTTCCCAGATCGTCCACCCTTTTCTTTTGTCCTTAAAGGGGGGGGGGGCATAATTCCTGTCTTAACTTGCTGTTTACAAATTGTTTACAGTATCATCCGGGACTACTGTAAACATTGATTTTTCAGTATTCATGTTTTCTTTGAGAACAACATGATGTACGTTAAGTATTATAACACCACGATTGGTACATAGAATAGAATATTTTACCTGTAGGTTTAATGTCATGTTAACTGTAATTATTATGCACCAATTGCACAAATGCAATTAGGAAATTAGCATAAAACTGGACAAGAGGACAGGAGGAAAATTTTAGCATACTAAGTTTTAACAATTTAAAATGTTAAAAATTTAAAAATGTATCAAATTTTATCACTATAAATCGATTGCCATTTTCCACCGATCGATTATCGGTTAGTTGGGTTAGTTTTCACCCGTAAGTAAATGGTGTCAAAATTTACATAATTATGCATGTGTATATGACTGTGTAACTTATGTATTTTTCAAACACTTTATTAAATAGATTCAGATTCCAAACTTTTTGACTACCCTGTTCTTGGCGGGAATCTGGGGGCTGACGATAAAATGTTCTTGTTGTCGGATAACAAAGAACCAACAGAACCGATTTCGTCAGCTCTTCATCAAGAGGAGGATGATTTAGACCTTCTGACGTACGTATTTTAATAGTCCCTAACCGGTGAAACCAGAGGGGACTATAGGTTTCCTCTGAGTCTGTCCGTCTGTCCCTCTGTCTGTCTGTCAGTCTGTCCCACTTGGTTTTCCGCACTCTTTTTCTAAACGCTGCAGATATTAAGCTGAATTTCGGTATGTGAGTGAATCTTGATGAGTTACAGATCAAGTTTGCATTTCGTTCCGCTTCAATGATTTTTTATGGAATATCGATCTTTTCAATTTTTCAGGGTTTTCCGCAATATTTTTCTAAACGCTTGCAGATATTGTGCTGATTTTTGGTATGTGACTCTATTTGATGAGTTATAGATCAAGTTAACTTGCATTTCGTTGCGCTTCATTGATTTTTGTCGGAATTATGGCATTTTCAATTTTTAACGGGATCCAGATTACACTTGCTGGTAGCACAGGACGAAAGACCATCTTTAAGCAATCGCTTAATGGTGGCTCAATGGTAGCTTAATGGTGGCCTATAGAAGTTAATTCCTTTAAGCCACCATTAAGCCACCATTAAGCTGCAGCTTCTAGGTGCTTAATGTCCAAACTTCATTAAGCTACCATTAAGCCACCTTTAAGCTGCAGCTTAATGGTGGCTTAATATCCAAACTTAATCAAACCACCTTAACGCATCCAGTATCAAGTCTTTAAACTAACTTGTTAAGTTTGAAGTAGTTTCAGAATCATTTACGCAAATACTTATTCAATTCATATTTTTTTTTTCTCGCTATTTCTAACATTTTTGTCAATGCGTATAAACTCGGGAACTGAGAACAGCTTCACCAAATGCCTTAAAATTTTCGCTCCCTAAAATCAGTTTGTTTGAATACTTGTATTAATATCATTTTTATCCATAAATACATAATATATATTAATTTTTTAAAAAATCACATATTTTTCTTTCGTGTTTGGAGAGCCACATTCCGCTGCCGAATTCATAGTAAATGTTGTAATTAGAGTCATTTTCTACTGGGATATCTCTAAGTCTCTTAATTTTTCTTTGGGTAGAGAAATGTTTAAGATATAAAAAAATATATAGGTATAGATTATATTGCCCATCATTGAATTACTTCATGAATAATTTGAATTAATTCGTGGTTAAGTGCCATTATTTTTTCCTTTCTTTTAAAATACTGCAGAAGTAAGAATTTATTTAAAATAATGCAGAAGTAAGAATTTATTTAAAATAATGCAGAAGTAAGAATTTATTTAAAATAATGCAGAAGTAAGAATTTATTTAAAATAATGCAGCAGTAAGAATTGATCAAAATATAGTTGGTCTTCAATGTTTGTTATTTCAAAATCAATTTTCAGAAGAACAGCCGATCAGATTAAACAGGGCATCCGACCAGATTTATACACATTGAGAGGCGGGGTAAAATAATCAGTGTACAGTATATCGACTAGTTAGACAATAGACCTTAATTAGGTGTCCCCACCAATCCCCGGTCAATTAACAGGAAACTATACACAGGAACGTACAGTGACAGATTTTAATGATATATTATTTTTACAAAACTTAAAATTTACGCAAGCATATAACAAATTAGAAATTATGATTGTACACAAAAAGACAATTATTTTGATACCCATAATGATATAAAAAGAATTAAAACTGAAGATGTTATGTTACAAAAATATTTTATAACTTACTTGTTACGCAAAGATTGTCAAAAATCGTAAATATCCGCAGCATATTTATAAGAACTATAGTATAATCTGTTTTCCCCCATCGTTCTCTTTCGATGATACATGTATATTCCTTTTTAATAACAAAATTTTGTTATATCCGTTGAATTTCAATCTTTTCATGCTTATAAATCTGCGAATAACAGAACGAGGAATTCAGTTACTTAAAATCAAAAAGTTGTTTCACACGATCACACCGAACTCCGGTCCACGGTTAAGAAATATTAACGTAATATAAAACTTTATAAAAATTTCTTTTTTAAAATATATATAAATATAATTATTTGTATTATTGATTAATAAATATAAACATCAGAAAAAAAATACATGTGCAGGTACCTGTAACCATTCCAAACAAGTTTTGTTAAAAAATAAATTTGTTATATTTCACTTCAATTTCAACAGACTTGATAGCTCAGTGGTTAAAGCGTTCGCCCTCCAATCTAAAGGTCGTGGGATCGAATCCTGTTGGGAATGCTTTTTTTTTCTTTATTTTTTTTTTTTTAAATTTTCTTTCTTTTACATTATTTTTGCCGAATTAACAAATGTATAAACCCGACATTTATAATTTTTGTGAAGAAATCATTTTAAAAATAATATTTAACCCATAAAAGCAGTTTTATCGACTGCGTAATGGTGACTTAAAGGTGGTTTAATGGTAGCTTAATGGAGTTTGGACATTAAGCACCTATAAGTCTGGCTTAATGGTGGCTTAATGGTGACTTAATGATTGTCTAGAAGCTACCATTAAGCACCTATAAGCCACCATTAAGCTACCTTTAAGCATCCATTAAGGACTTTGAGATGGCTTAATGGTAACTTAATGGTGGTGTATTTATTACTTAAATGTAGCTTAAAGGTGCTTAATGGTGACTTAAAGACAACCATTAAACCATCATTAAGGACCTATAAGCCACCATTAAGCCAAACTTAAAGGAAGTGTTTCATCTTGTGTAGGGGACTAGTATTGCTAATGCAATACTCTCAGAATGCTTGTTTTTGTTGTAATGTCATTACAACCATGTACATACATGTTTCAGAGCAAATTACAGCTAAAAGATTTAAGAAATTTTAATTGAAAATGATTCTTATTATTCTTCACTTGCTACAAAGATGTATTTTTTCCTTCGCCAAAGTTATGCCGATTTTGATAGATAGGAAATATAAAACCTATATAAGCGATAAATTGGAAATAAAGAAAATTAAAAATAAAATGCACTTTGGCGGCTTCGCTAAGACAAGTTACGTGTAATGACCAAAAAATTGCGTCATTATGAGTAGAAGACCGCTTACAGAAATAATTCCCAGTGAAGATAATTTTAAACAGATTTTAAACAGATGTGACGCGAATATTGTCATTTGCAAGTTTTACCTTTTCATTGACAGCTGGTGTCACTTTATACATGTTGAGGTCTTTTTAAAACGAATATTCATGAAGTTTTTGTGTACTTACATACTTATTAAAGCGTGATATTTCGATGTTAACGTGGTTATGAATGAAAAAAAAACTTAAGATCGTCATGTTTTCTACAATCATTAGCCATGATATTCAACCACAAAGTAAAAGATAATTGCAAACTTACTATCATTTTGATTATAATATTGAAAGTAACTATTTTTTTGATGTTTTATCTATTATTTCTAATTCAATAGTGAAGTTTTAAAATCTGTTAAACATTTTTGTTTATTTATTTCAAAAGATTTACATAAAGTTATACTTTAACCAATACTGTTAACAGTGTTGAAGACGACTTGGATGAACTTTTTATCAGCCAACCCAAACCAAAGATTAAAAGTGATGACACAGCAAAAATCAATCAAACTAAACCCAAACCGTTACTTAGACCAAAGCCAGAAACGACAAATACATTGCCAGAGAGCCAAAAACCTACTCTACGTCCTAAACCCAAGGTTGGTTCGAAACCAGAACTTAAACCAAAGCCAGTTCCAAAACAACCACCCGTGATTCCATCCCATAGCGAGGCTACTTCCGGTATAAGTGATCTAAATACAGACGATATCATGAAGTATATTCAAAGTGCAGGAGAGACGCAGGAAGATGTGGATTTGTTTTCATAAATAGTTTAGTTTCTTCCTTAAATTGTTTCCTTTAATGAAAAATATGTGCCATATTTTGTTAGATCATTCAGTTCATATCTTCCGTGTGTTTTCTATTTCATCATAAAACATAAAAATGTCATTCATATTTTGTGATAGTTTAAACTTGAATTGACAAATCTTCATTTTTTTTAGCAAAATATGAATAACTTTTTGATATTTCAAAATATCTTGCACTCTCACTAGGTTTCGAAACAGAAAATCTGATTAGGCAAAGATATTGGCACCAATAAACATGGTATACACATGTGTAAACTGTTAAGTTAAACTAATAATCTTTATTTCTACAGATAAAAGTAGGAAACAGTTATACATGTAATTTACTTTCAATGAGATATAGATTTTAGTCAAAGGTTATTCCGTTTCACAATCTACACAACGCTATTACAACAATACAAACTAAGCTGATATGAGCATCCATGGCTAGGTATCTATTCAAACAATTGCATTTGGAAGATACATGTATTTCATCGTTCCTAGTGAGTATACCAATATCGTCTATCATCTCATCAACTTGAGATAGAAAGAATTTTTAAATTTTCTTAGAATTGAAAGACTGTGCAAAGTTTGCTCAGTGTCACAGGTTGAAGATGAGTATCAGTATTTATTCCGGTGGGTCCATTTATTTCCGAAGTTACAAAATAATATACAAAGAAATATTACCACAAAAACCTCAACCTTAAACTTTTTCAATTCTTGTCGACAAAAAATGTTACAGAGTAATGTTAACGTTAACTTGGAAAATATCTTTATAAATTCTCAAAATTTATGAAAGAAGTTTAATTTTGCATTTGTATATTGAGATTATCCTCGCTATTCCTATGATAATCAAATTTATTATTGTGTTTTTGTTTTAAATCATCTAAGAATGATTTGAAGTTTGTAAGATTTTTTTTTTACTATGATCCTTCTTTGCCCAATGTACAAATCATAATAAAATGATTATATATTTTTTTGTACAATTTATTAATGTTCAAATTTTAAACCAAGGGCTGTTTTGCTCTTGGCTATAAACAATACAATAATCAAAGGCAGGGTTTCTGTTCAGTGACACAGAGGAAGCATAATGAAAACTTAAGCAATTTCTTGAACTACTTATTTTCCATACCTACAACAACATATTTTTCGAAGTTCTTTACGAAGTGCCCGATCAAAGAGTCCATAAAAGAAAGGATTACTTATATTGTTTACAAGATAAAAGCGATACAGGAACAGGTAAAAAGCTATTTCCCGGTCAGTCAGTTTATGCCAAAAATGATGATCCACAGATTCCAAAACATTTAATGTTATCCGTGGAATAAAAGATAATACAAAAACCACGGCTATCAACATGAACATCCAGGAACACCGATGAGTTCCGAAGTGTTTCCGCACAGTAGGAATAGCCGAATTGAAAGCCTTTTTCTGTATTTCTGTAAAACTACTGCGGATCTTTTCTGTAGTAGTCATTGGAACACTGAGAAATGTAGAATTTTGGAGAGGACTGGATTCCTCATTTACCGGGGTAACTGGCGATGGAGGTGCCTCGGTGAGAGAATCAAGAAAGGGAGAATCGAAATCGAGGCTATCCCTTTGCGGTTTATTTCTAGGCGGGACTCCTCCTCCGCTCTCTGAGGGCGGATTCCATTCCATTGAATCTCGGTTGCTGCGTTTAACAGCAGATGTTGCGGAACTAATTCTTCGTCTGTACTTGTGTTGCCTGTAGATTGTACGTCCAATCATAATGTAGAGAACACTTATTGTAATAAGTCCACCGACAACAATCACAAACAGAATTGTGTTATACAAAAACAGGGCAGTTCTATCAGAATTTGGGCTTGCACCACACCGAGATCCTTTCAAATTTAACTGAGAATTTATTATGGTAATTTCTCCATAGAACATAAAGCACGGTAAAGACAAGACAATGGAGAGGAGAATAATAGCTACCAAGGCGAAATGCTTGGTCTTTATCGTCATCTGTTTCTTGAATGGTCTCACGACCTTCAAATAACGCTGTATTGCAATGACAAGCAACATAAAAGCTGCACACATTGTAGTAGCTTGTGATGCAAACCACAAAATTTTACATAGTTCATCTCCTTGAAATCTCAATGGAATGATATTTAAAGCCATGGCATATCCTACACCTACAATACATGCACACAGATCCATCACAGCTAGATGGGGTATAAAATATCTGTCGTCTCTCGGTCCCTTCATTCGGAAGTTGTACACATAAATCACAATAGAGTTCCCTACTACACCAATCAGGAGATAGAATCCCAGAATCACCGTGTTAACTGTTAAAACCTTGGACTTTTCGTAATTCCAATCTTCCAATGTGTATAGTTGTGTGCTGTTCATGTTTAAAAACATACAGGGACAACTACTGCACTTGTTTTTTATCCATGTTATTGAGTGTCCTGGTTATTAATGAGCAAGGTTGGCGTTCTCCGGCGTTTTAAAGTTATTTTCCGGAGAACTCGGAAATGCGAGAACAAGTCGAACTATAGTGATAATCTAACCACTCTATCTGTCACACACTCGCACGAATAAAAACATAAAAGTGCTTGCATCCTTTTTAATTGAAAACATATCATAATGACCAGATTTCGATCCTTTTTGGTCATTTGTTGTTTGTTCTGCTTTTAATTTACCGTAATGCTCGTGTATAATTGCCCTTTTCCGCACTTGTTTGAATGCACTTATAATACGTCAAATGTAAAAGATTGCTTATTTTCAGTTTGTTTTATTTATAATGCTTAAGCTTCTACTCGTGCTAGAAGAAACGTCACTGCACAATATGACAGAAAAGTATGAAGTTAATGACGACAATCTTAATTTAAAATAACCTTGAATGTTCAAATATTAACTGCAGAAGAACAAAGAGAGGTGGTCAATTTTTTTTACTCTCTGATCTTACCAGTGGTTAATTAATCACTCCAACAAAAACACTTTGAGTAACTGCATTTTAGCCAGTGGTTAAGTGGCCAGTATTTCTGAAAGTTGATCAGTGCTCACTGGTTAGCTTAACCAAAGGTCAAATTTAACTAGTGATTTGAGCAACCCAGGGCAGATCTGTATTCTCTTTTGAAGTGCATGCATTCGATTGCTCTGTCCTCTGTCTTGCCTTTGAACATAAGAGGATGGCAAAAATGGCGAAGTATTTTCATACAGTACTTTAATTTATTTTGTGATTCTGATCGTAATATCTTTCTTAGCCTTCTCCTCAATTTTTCCTCTTCTTGTTCAGGTCTGCGTTTGAATCACCTTGTTCATTTAACTTCTACTTCGTTTCCCTGACCTAGTTTTCTTCTTCTCCCAGAGTTATCTATTGTGAAAGGAAAATGTTGTGAAACACAGAGATATTTTTAGCATTTTGATGTTTTAATATATAATAATATGTAGAAAAAATATTTAAGTTGCTTAGTTTTCATTGATGGCAAGATAAACAACCAAATGAAGCGCTTCATCATTGAACAAAAAGCAACAAGATGTGTTAGTGAAACACTGATGCCCCCGTATGACAACTTATAGCAAATGTTAAACTTTCTCAAATGCATATCAAATATGTTGGTACCCAAAGTAAGGTCTTCTCACAAGAAATACACTTGTGAAATATGAAAGCCCTAGCACCACCTGTTCAAAAGTTATGGTCAAGGTTAAAGTTTTTTAAAAGTAGGTCAAACTCCAAGGTCAAGGTCAAAGGGTGAAAGTGTTGGTATCTAATGGAAGGTCTTGTTACAAGGATTACATATGTGAAGTATGAAAGCCCAAGCCCTAACCGTTCAAAAGTAATGGCCAAGGTTAAAGTTTTTTTAAAAGTAGGTCAAACACCTAGGTCAAGGTCAATGAGTTAAAGTTGTTGGTATTTTAAGGAAGGTCTTGTCACAAGGATTACATATGTGAAGTATGAAAGCCTAAGCCCTAACCGTTCAAATGTTATGGCCAAGTTAAAGTTTTTTAAAAGTAGGTCAAACACCTAGGTCAAGGTCAATGAGTTAAAGTTGTTGGTATTTTAAGGAAGGTGTTGTCACAAGGATTACATATGTGAAGTATGAAAGCCTAAGCCCTAACCGTTCAAATGTTATGGCCAAGGTTAAAGTTTTTTAAAAGTAGGTCAAACACCTAGGTCAAGGTCAATGAGTTAAAGTTGTTGGTATTTTAAGGAAGGTCTTGTCACAAGGATTACATATGTGAAGTATGAAAGCCTAAGCCCTAACCGTTCAAATGTTATGGCCAAGGTTAAAGTTTTTTAAAAGTAGGTCAAACTCCAAGGTCAAAGGATCAAAGTCGTTGGTATCTAAAGGAAGGTCGACGTCTTGTTACAAGGATTAAATATGTGAAGTATGAAAGCTCAAACCCTAACCGTTCAAAAGTAAGACCAAGGTTAAAGTTTTTTCAAAAGTAGGGCAAACACCTAGTTTAAGGTCAATGAGTCAAAGGTGTTGGTATCCAATGGAAGGTCTTGTCACAAGGATTACATATATGAAGTATGAAAGCCCTAGCACCAACTGTTCAAAAGTTATGGCCAAGGTTAAAGTTTTTGCGGACAAACAGATTGACAAACAGACAGACAGACGGACAGGGCAAAAAATCTATACCCCCGAATCTTCGATTACAGGGGCATAAAAGAGCAAGTGTAAGTATAACAATAACACTCTGGAAGTCGAAATGGATTGACCACATTCTAAGGATGGAGAACATCAGGATTTGCATCGCTTCTATGACACGGCATCCAGAAGAAAGGAGGATTGTAGGCCAGTGTAAAGGAAATAATGACTCCATCGAAAAATGACCGGGGGCATTCTTCGACGTTGAAATATGGCCCTCGTTCATCACTCTACATAGAAAAGGAGGCCTCGGGTATGTGGAAAACGTGTCACCGTTAAAATCAGCATACCCTACATAAAGAAAAGTCATCCCCGTAGAATAATGACCCACTTTTAGATTTTGTTGAGGACTTTTTTGTATGACTAGAAGGAAATAACTTGTATGTGGTCAGGAAATGTTAAAGGTGAAGATAATTTAAACAATGATCAATCTTATAAATCCAGTAATCAAAAAGAATCGCGAATAAGGAAAAACGCAGACCCCTGAAAACACCAGAATTGGGATCAGGTGCCTAGGAGGATTAAGCACCCCCTGTCGACCGCTCACGCCCGTGGTGAACATTGTTTTGATCAGGTAGATGGAGTGCTTAGATAAATAAAACTTCCAAATATGAAACATATTTAGCTCTCCTTAGGCACCAAACTTACCACTGCTGGTGTTTTCAAGGGACTATGTTTTTTTCCATGTTCCCGATTCTTTTTGTTTACTATAGATTTATGAGATGGATCACTGTTTGTTATCTTCATCTTTTATAAAACTCGACCAATACATGTTCAAGAAAATTTCTTGAGGTTTACCCTGTAGTCATACCAAAATAAAATGATTAAAAAAAAACATCCTTAACAAAATCTAAAGGGTGGTCATTATTCAATTAATTCATTTTTCTTAATGCAGGGTATGCAGATTTTAAAGATATACATGCCATGTAAACGCCGAATTTTAATGTGAAACAAAATGATTAAAATTTTTGAGAAACATGATGTGTAATGAAAAATAACACTTTCCACAAAGTTTAATTTAATAAAGTCGTTGTAATTACAAATCAATTAAACAAGATCTGCAATTAAGAATTCAATCTTTTTATGAATATTGATGAAGGATGTGCGTAAACAGTATATAGACATGAATGTTCGCTGGAAATCATACATGTATACGACGAGGTACACTGCAATTTTGAATGAATTATTACAGTGTAGATGGTTAATACTGGTTGTTTTAAAAGATTAGTATCTTTAAGTTTAGACCTCTGCCATGCGAAAGTTATTTGTATACCAAACGGCCTACCTCGTTTTCTTGGCGCCATTTTTGTTTATCAATTTTAAAAGTAGCAACGGTGTCACGTGATGCATTAATTTAAATAGAGACATTACTTTCCTGGCAGGAAAATAAATAATTATAATTTGACATCTTTATAATGCTTTCATTTTCATTTGTGTAATTTACAGTATTTTCATAACTTTATTTGGTAAACAAAATAAATTTCAAACTGGCACAAGTTATAGCGTGTATATCTTTAAGATTGATGACATATTTTTTTTTCTACATATCCCAAGGCCCATATTTCTACAAAGAATGATGACCGAGGGCCATTTCTCACGTCGAAAAATGACCCTGGTCATTTTTTCGATGAGGTCATTATTTCCTCTAGACCGGCCTACAATTCTTCTTCCTTTTGGATGCCATGGCAAAGAAGCGATCCAATCCCTTAGTTCATGTATGTGGTCAATCCATTTCAACTTCCAGAGATATTGTTATACTGTTTTTGTTTTTATTATTTATTTATTTATTTATTTATTTATTTTTTGTTCTTGTTTCTTGTTGTTCTTGTTTTTATTTTTATTTATTTATTTATGTATTTTGTTCAATGATATAGCGCTCCATTTAATATTTTATCTCACAATCACTAAAAACAAAGCAAACCTATTTTGTATATATTATTATACGGTGGAATATTAGTATCTCGAATTTGAAGGGGCTCGGAAAAACTGCGAGATATCCGGTCGTTCGAGATATCTGAAGTTGTCTTCCAATTTCGAATCAATAACTTCCCGTATGTTCGTATATATATATATATATATATATATATATATATATATATATATATATATATATATATATATATATCTTTTCATGCAATAAAAATTGTATTACCAATCAATTATATAAAAATAATTATGTTGACGAAATAGATTAACGATAATTGACAATTTCCGTCATGGCTTTTTTAAAATTAGTATGCAAAATGAATCATTAAAAAAATGATTCACACAAGGTGAATATTGAATAATTGATACTAAATGATAAATGGGTATAATGATATACAATGATAACTGAATTGCAAAGAGCAGGTAGCAATGAGGTGTACATGTATAACAAAGACGATAATCTATATCGACTTTTTGAACAGTGCATGATGTAGAAAGTTCATAGAACAATGATGCAATGCCAGAAGCCCAATTATTGGCCATGGACCCCGGAAAATAACAGGATCAACATTGAACTTTGAGCAAAAGTCGGCCATATTTCTTCAGTTAACAGCTATTTATATAAGCTATATAAGCAAAATTCGGCCTGTACACCGTCAGTGAACACCACGTCACGATGGAGTGAAACCTAAATAAAAACATAACACTGACTGATTCTTCTGCTGAATTGTTCCAAGGATAGCCGAGTAAATGAAAGTTGGCTGAAAAAGAAAGTAAAAATAACAAACAAAAAAAAAACCCAGCAACTAGAGGAGCTGTGAGCATTGAGTTCACAAAATAATAAC